CCTACTAAGAGTCGGAGGTGGATGGAGAGTGCGCCTGATTTATATCTCGTGGTCAGCTGCACGGTGTAGTCACAGCTGCCGATGAAGGACGGAGCCTGAGGTGTGTGGATGGATGACGATAACACGCATGCGATATGTTTGCAACAGATGTCCAGCTATAACCGCATCATTTACCCATGTAGAATTGGGATGGAGCGAAATAGCAACTTCCACTTACAAATGGCAAATGCTATATGAACTCATGGACCGGTTTGTGTCATGCGGAGCCACTCATCCCTGTGCAGACGCTCCAACCTGACGAGTAAATGTGATTCGACGAAGCGAGTACATTTTATTTGCGGCTTCAAAGAACCTTCTTACCACGACCCTGTATTGTTTTCGAATACCTCCCACAACTGACGTATACCCATCCGGAATTATGTCCCTAGTTAGAGTGATAAACGTTACTTTTGCTTGCCCTACGTGCTCTGCGTTGCCGCAGGCGGCGTCCAGCCGCTTACGTTGACGTCACATGTTAAGCAATTCGGCAAACGGCCACACACACTACCCCTGTCCGTCAAGTCTGCTTAGTTCAATTATTTTATTTATTATGCCCTTACCAAAGTCCTTATCCACGGGCTCTCCAAGCGCAATCAACGACAAGCGGTAGAACATAATTGCTTTCCACACAACCGTTTCAGAGTGGCATCTATTTGTCAGGCTCTTACATGTTTGTTCTACAAGGCGGCAACTAAAACGGGTATGCGACGCGACCACACGCACACACTTACCGGAGATCCACGATGTTCCCCCGAATAGAAGTGGCTATTTCTAGCAGGGTATAAAGTGCACTCTGACACGTCATCATAATAAAGTAAGAACAACACTTGTTTAGAACAGGCAGTTTACTGCCAACAGAATGTTTTACAGATTGGCCAAATGAACACGTCCATAATTCTTACTGACTTGTGAACCATTTGTTCGCATTGCTGCGGTTTTGTTGTAACTTCCTCTCAGAAGCGAACACGCTATCAAGCCGTTGGTTGTCATGGCGCCGACAAGATGAACGTTTGGTCCCCGGCTCTTCGCCACTGTACACTGCTGTCAACTACCACGTCGTGAGTGGCCACGAGTGCGGGAGTCGAATAAGTTGAAGTTGGTCTCAGCATTCCATACCGGTTGCCTTCCTTCCACCTCGTAATCCATGAGCTGAAAAACGAATGACTTGTGTCGCTTTTTGTTCCCCAGCGTGTTCATGGACTCCGGAATGGTGTGCAAGTTCCTCATTGTTATCAGTCAACCATTCAAGTATCTTGAGACGGTGCTTGTACTTACTGAAAGTTCGAACTATGCCTTCAACCGCAAACGAAGGAGTTCAAGGGTAACGGTAGGCTCCGCAGAAACCCACTCCACCAGAGGGTCGACGTGGCTTTCGCCCAGTGCTCTGCGACGGACTCCCCGGTGCTGACACACCGATTCCGTCGATTCGTACGTCCGTATCCAGTGGTGGCAAGTTTTCACATTTATTTGCAAGCGACCTGCTTCCAATCGTCACCTTCCTCGTACGCTTTCAGTATGACGTTCTTCACCTCCCTCGATTGACAAACATGCAAGCCAAACATTGCGTTTAGGTGAACTGCACATTCAAAATCACACTGCAAACATTTTGGCTGTGGCTCGTTATGCCAACCCAATCGTTGTTCAAATCCGTACTCTCGTACTAACTGGTTGGAATCGCTTCCTTGGATAGAGAAACAAAGGCCCACATTGTGCATCGGCCGCCGACACTGTATCTGGTAGGAGCTGAAGCGTCCCAGCTGCACCCCTATGACTTAGTGCGTCTGAGGTCCTATTGGCTGAAGGCGCCGCGCACACCTGCAGACCTGCACAAATGAGCGGCGCACGCACGGCTTAAAGTAATTGAGCAAAGACCCATATTGCATGCCCCTTAGCGCAACTCATTTGCCCTCAGATTAATTCTGTTGCCTAAGGGGACAACTTGGCCGAGTAAAGGTATAGATAACCAGAACTGACGACAAACTCGTTCACAAGAGCAAGCAGACAAAGGACACGAAACACAAGGGTTCAAGGTCAAAGATCATCTGCCCATCCACCAAGCTGAACGCGGAGTAAACTCCCAATCGATAGGGTTGCGTCTCCATGGGTAACCACGGCGGTGTAAAAACGCACGCACATCACGCTCAGTGCACTCTCACCGAGGTTCTTCTACGCCACTGCACGCCACTCAACTACGCACTGATGATCTCACCTCGATTGGTGACGAAACGTTTGCAACAAAATTGTCAAGCTCAGCGAGCAGTTCAACCGCCATATATCTATATATATATATATATATATATATATATATATATATATATATATATATATATGTACGGATGACGCGAACCTATGGCGCACAATTAACCTTCTGAACGATGTTTACGCACTTCAGACGGACTTCGATCGCCTACATCAATGGTCCATAGAAAACAACCTTCCATTTAACGCTTCGAAATAAATAAGTAAGTAGTTTATTCTCGTCATTGCGAGGCACACCATCAAGGGCGTGATCATGGCAATACAGACATGTATGATCGGTAATTGCACAAATTAATACATTTTGACAAATAGCATAGGAATTTATGTGTGTGTTGAAATGTAAAAGTATGTTTAACTGTGTATTTGGAAGGGGCCAGGTTGTGTGAGTAGGTAAATGTGACTCAGTGTGTTTTTGTTCATTGTGCTCGCCATCAAAGAGGGGTGTCAATGGAACGCTTTGAAGCGGATGACGTTCATGATGTGTGAATGATCCTTTCTACCCGCCCTTCCGCTTTTTCTCCTATATATTACCTGGGAGCTTCTATCCTCCAGATCTCTTCAACCGAAAGAGTCTTGGGTATCATTACGCAGACGAGTCTTTCCGTATCCGCTTCCTGTCGGAAAGCAGCTGCTGCTGCTAACCGCATGGTTGGATTGCTGAAAGAGCCCTCGATCAAATTGACTCTAACAATTTCGGCCTCCTCCTCAACTCTTTTCTTCGACCTCATTTGAAATTTGCAGTTTAAGATTGGCGCCCCTGGTTGTTAAAGGATCAACGTTTACTCGAAGCTCCACAACGTCGAGCAACCAAATTGGTCCGAGGTCTCAACCACAACTACTTCACTGCCTGGGCCTCTACTCGCTTAAGTACCGATGTCTTCGGGGCGACCTGATCCTTATATTTATGATCTTATCCAACCCTGCACATCCCTGTCGCCACCTACTCACACTGCACCCATCATGCTCCCACCTACGTGGCCACCCACTGAGGCTCACCCAGCACAGTCGGCTGAACTGCAGATGACACTACTTCGCTTTGCGAATTTGCCGACCGTGGAATGCTCTACCTGCGGATTTAGTCTTAGCAACCATTGTGGCGGATTTTAAGACTCGCATGGACTGTCATCTGGCCGAGCTACATCGCGATATTCCCTGATATAACCACCTTCTACTTGATGGAGTTTCTTTCCTTTTTTCTCTTCTACCTAATTCCTTTCCATAGCCGTTTCGGAGGGCGTGGTGGGATGTCACGCTTTGAGCCGGTGTGCACTCGTTAAATGCCGCATAAGCCCGATGAAGATATGGCTAACACGCGAATCCAACCCGCTATAAGGTTGCTTAGCCTTTCATTAGACCCGACCCGAACTCTTCTTACCCTATGGGCCATGTAAAGCTCGAACTTTTATTCCCATTAAATACAATGTTCCAATATTTACATGGTGGCATTGGATTCCGGATTTGCCTGTCATTGTGGCCTCTACGGGGACTGCCACAGGACGGGTGCCCTTACTGAGAGACCATGGGTGGCTTGCGCTGCACCACCCACAGCTCCACACACACACACCACATGTTCAATGTAAACCTGAAGGAATAAGACCGAGTGGCAAGTGGGTAGGAGCAGTGTTTCCACGACGGAGCCGATCCACATGCTTTCAGCATGCACAGCAGCATTCTTGCCTACTTGGGGAATCATGTGTACCAGACCTGCACGAGGTGGCGCATGGGCTGTACTCCGCTCCACACTGGATGGAACCACTCGTTGAGTCTAGCACGGCCACGAGGACCGTGCACCTCATCCTCCAGTAATCGAGCTAGGGGGTGTCAGACAGGTAGGCGCATTATCAACCTTCACATTGTGCGCAGTGCCACTGAGGATATCAAACATCCAGCATAGGATTCGTGAGAAAATATACAACAAAATTGGCAAGGGATATTCAAATCAAAGAAAATGGAATACTTTGCAACATACTTGGTCTAAAACAATTAATGTAACTTGTTCCAGCCTATGTCGTTATCGACGACGCATGATGTTTCGCTGCTGGTGCTGCTACTACTACTACTGATGATGATGATGATGGTGGTGGCGATGATGACGATGATGATGATGATGATGATGATCATGATAATGATGATGATGATGATGATGCTGATGATGATGATGGATGATGATGATGATGATGATGATGATGATGATGATGATGATGATGATGATGATGATGATGATGATGATGATGATGATGATGATGATGATGATGATGATGATGATGATGATGATGATGATGATGATGATGATGATGATGATGATGATGATGATGATGATGATGATGATGATGATGATGATGATGATGATGATGATGATGATGATGATGATGATGATGATGATGATGATGATGATGATGATGATGATGATGATGATGATGATGATGATGATGATGATGATGATGATGATGATGATGATGATGATGATGATGATGATGATGATGATGATGATGATGATGATGGTTAATAAATTGCTAATGTAAACAGCAATTCTGCCAATTCCTTTTCCGTGTCCATCGCCTGCCTTCGAGTTGTTTAGGATTTAGTTGATCAGTTGGTGCACACGCACATATTCACCTAACGGTAAGCAAGGTACTTTAATCGCAAACCAGTTGTTTCCTTTTTGCGCTTGAACTATTTCCACGCTTGATTCCTCCCACTAGGCCAGTGAAAATACCACTCAAGGGTCGTCCTCAACGACAGCCAGGTCTGCTGCCGACTTCACCCAAACATTCCACTCCTGGTCTCATTCTGCTAAGGGACCGAATTCTGCGAGTCAGTTCGAGTAAGTAGGCGGCTGCTGCCCCTCATGTTGCTCATATTAGTATATTTTGATATACGGACAGCATGCACAACTTTGTATGAATGAAAGCGTGCATTGGGTTAAGCGTGTTGGTTGTTCAGGTGGACGGCGGTCAATGGCAAATGGTCAGTGTTATACTGCGGATGAAGAAGCTAACATCTTACTTGTTCTGGCATATGGTCGGTCTGGGAGTTACAAAAAGTGGTAAAAAAGCAGTAGCTATGAAAATTCTTATCACCTAAGTACCAGTACATGATTTAGTGATCGTGTTTACTACTATAAACACCGTATCCCACACACCTCATCCCCAACACATTGACTGTTACTAAGAATTTTTGTACACCTTCCATGATTTACAGCCTCAGTGTAGACGACGACTTTGCCGTCCTCATGTTTTAGACATGCATGGTACTGGAGTGTAAACAACGTGCTATCAAAGGCGCATTGGTCCGCCGTCGTCACCCGTAACCTAGTTGGATAAGCCTAAAATTGAACTATATGAGTGGTGGCATCAACTCCCGGAGGAGTCAGGGGAATGTGTACTTGTGAAGAGTCCCCATAGAACAAAGCCACCTAGCCCCTTCCTGTATGTGGGTGGGGTTGTTGAGCTGAGTACGAATCATCTCTAAAACCAGTCAGTGCATGGTTGGGACGATGAAGGTTTGGATTTACATTTAGCTTGTGTTGTCAGTATGAGCGAGTACACCTTTAAACCGCACGAGTTGGTTGGAGACCCGGGGAAATGTGACACTATCCCAACTGCGACTTAGCGCTGGGCGAGTTTTGAACTTGTTCACCAGCGTAGCAAACTCACGCTATCCGATTGCCGACAATCAATAGACGCGCTGGCTAAATAGGGATGTTACACTGCTGTATATATGCATTTCCTAGTTTCTCGTTTGTAATCGTGTTTCATCAGTATGACAAGCGAATCCGGACCTCGACCCCGCAAGTTCATTTGAAGTTATCCTGCTCCAAACAACCGCACCTGCGCTGGGTCATTTTCACTAACTGTGTTGGTCACGTTCTGTGGACATGTCGGAGGTCCTTGGGTGCAGAGCAGTCTCTGGTGTGAGTTTCAATTATACCGAATAGCATTGAGCAGCTCCATAACATAAAACTGAAGATGGCGCCACTGCTTTACAGCAGCTAGTAGCTAACCAAGTAAGCATTTTTGACATTAAAGAATCAAGTTGCATCACAGAATACTTCATCTGATGGAGAACCTCAAGTTACTTACCTCCACGGTTTCCAAATTAACTCATTCGTCCCTAAACTCCTGTGATCCATTCATTCAGTGTTCAGCTGTGCTGTTCACTTTTTTTCCTGAAAAGAAACTGTCCTTGGTTTTCAGATTTTAAGTTTTATCTCCTAGCACTGAAAGGATGACTGGTAACCTAAGAGACATCTTCAGAGCTAAAGACCTCGAGGGCATCGGCTTAGACATCACACTACAGGAAAGTTCTTCCACAGATTCAACGTAACCTTCCTCCACACATCTTTTACCCAGGCAATTCAGGAATTGTAGGCATCTTTGATATTGCTTGCTCTAAAAATTGCGCTTCACCCTTACTTGAGCTCATTAGCTAGGTTTCATCGGAGTTAGCAGAAATCTCTACATTATGGCTGACGAATCATACCCTGATCTTTAGGCCTTTGAGCTCCGTAACCGACGACTGACACAACTGTTAGGAGCTTGTTACTGTTGAAATACTCTCTGTATGCTTAGCTTGCGACATGAATTTCATTGAGTAATATGATCCACACCGAAATGAACCACGGCCAGGCACAGCACTGAAATCGCAGCTCAACTACATGTGACCTCCGTCACGTACTACTGTGTCGCAACCGCCAGAACCCCGTTTGATTTTCCGTATTTTCCGTATTTTAACTGTTCTAGAATGTATTATTTAAGCCAGAAATGCCGAACAGGTCTCCACTACAAATGTGATCTTAGTGAGAAGACTAAACAAGTTTTACCCTCACATACATCGTCACACAGCGTGACGCAATCTGGTCCCCAGTTGGGTACTTTAACATTCAACGATCGATGCAGGAGGCCCGTTGTAAGCTGGCAGTCAACAAGGATAAGTGCAACTGCATGTCACAAAAAGCCAAATGTATCTGCTATACCTGTCACACGATGCAACCCTAATGGTAAAATGATATGCACATTTTCAATGCTGCTTATTTTGCCTACTCTATCAGGATCCAGCTAAATATGTACCATGGAGCAGTTTGATCTGACCCATGTCGCCTTGTTGTTAAGTATCCATAGGTCTGAGTAGCTGGAGAGACAGGTTTGAGAAGATATATAAAACTTGTATAACTGTAAGTAGAGCAATATGAGCATCAAGACCCACAAACTTCTCATTACATCAGTCACTGAATACTTTTTATAGGAGAAGGCCTGGAGCTGCGCAAGTGCAACTGTTTGGACGGATAACTTAAGAAGGTAACAATAACCAATCACAAAATGTGAAAATCAAGGTTAAAATCAGGTTTAGTAGAACAAACGTATACCATTTTTCTTTCACCCAGAATGGGTAAAATCAAAACTATAGAAAATAAATCACAAGGCAGCGCGCAGGCGAGCAAAATCACTTAGCGGAAGTGGGTTCACACGGATTAAACTTAAACAGTCACCACACATTTGCAAATTATGCTTCACTCAAAGACAGCAGCTTATCAGCTTATTTGAACTTCACAGTATTCGTGCTCGCTACCGTTCCTTTTTGGAGTACGGGAAACGGCGACAAACACTGTTACAAAGTGGTTAGGTGTGGTGCAGCGCCACCCGTCCTCTACTACGATTTCTCTTTCTTACGGTCATAGGAGAGGGCTGACCTCCACAGTTGCAACTCCTCAGACTAGACCATAATTCAGACGCTGTAGTTATAAGTTATCATGGCCGATTACCAATTACTGGAAAGTGGTTGTACACGAAATACTATGCATACCACCATAGTCTTCGCTTTGAGATCACAATACCGGACATCCTGCACGTAGTCCTTGCCGTCACGGATACATACCGTTTATTACCAAATATAAGCCCGAATATAAGCAGACAGTATGACTTTGCAACATCAAATTTATCCAAAGTCCTAAGTCCATCTATTAGCCGACCCCTAAAAAATTCAACAAAAGAGAAACGAAATTGTTTCTCCTCCATTTCGACGTCATCACTACCTGCTCTCACTTGAGTGAGTTCAAGTGAAACCTGCTCTACTATTAGTCAGCTGTGGTGACCGTAGTGTTTTAATCGCGGTTAATGGGGCATAGGACCATTAGAACAGACTTTAACCGCATCGGATAGTGTATTGATCGGACGCCAAGTCATATGAAACAGCTAAGACAGCTGACAACGTATGGTAAGGCGAGAGGGTGTTACACAGGCCACCTGGCATAGTCGGGGGCCTCATGCACATGGACCACAGTAGAGCAGTGGGCGAGAGCAAAGTTCACGGTCAGGGGTGTGGGACGACGTACTATTAAAGCACCGGATCGCTTGGCATAACATAATGTTTGACTCGTTACTGCATACTGTAGGCGACATACCAGAAAATTGTCCGCCAACTTGCTTTCACAAAGTCGTTCATATTAAGCGTAAGTTCCCTAGATAGAACAGATATTTACGGTTTATTTCGATTGTCTATCGCTCTGTTTGACCGCAAAATAGTCGTTTGAATGCCAAAACGATGGTTTTTTGGAGGGAAATCGGTAAGCTTTCGCTTTAGACTGCGGTTACACCATGCAGTAAATGATTAAAAGCTTTGGATTCGCTACTGCTATCTGTCGCGAATGTCAGATATACAATATACTAAGGACTTTTCGACACAGTAGTAACCTGTGGTTTTATAGGCACTTAAAAGCCCTGTCTGGAATACCGTCCGTCACTAGCAAGTGGTGCTAAAGGGAGATAAGAGTAGAGGTATGCAGTGAAAACCTTGGTGGATTTTGCATGTGACCTTTTTCAAATCGCATTTGATCTTTAGATAAATCGACCTCCCCTCTACAGAAATAAAAAATTGACCAAAATTCCTCGGCTTATATTCGGTAATATACGGTAATTTAAGCAAGAGCATCCGTTGCAACCCGGGACAAGCGACGCTTCCGATGCAAAACTGTACTAGTTTTCAAAGCACATGTACTTATCATTGAATTAATTACTTATTCCACTGTCTCTGCAAACCGAGTTGTCGCCTCCGTCTCGTAAAAACCATACGTTTAACAATCCGGCAGCATCTTTCAGTGGACGGGCCAAGAAAGATCTATAAGCGGAATAAATGTAATAACTACCTCTTGTAAAGGAATCTCCACAACTTTTTCGTTCTAACTGCTGTGATTTAGTTGAGTTGGTCATAAAATGAGTTTTTACTTAAAATGCTTACAAAGGAATTCTGTTATATGCTTTGAGGAGTCATTTGAATTACCTGTTGTTATGAATGGATTGCGAAGCGTACTGAAGTGGACCTTGATCGAACATTGAGTATTGAGGCCGTAAGTGATGAATCAGATGGATATTGGGGGTTGGCCGCCCTTTTGTCTTTACCCCATTGCTTCAATTCGCTAAGTTATCGTGCATCCAGCTAACAGAGCTGATTTGGGTTGAAGATGTCATTTGTTTCTGGTTAGTAAATAATGATATTGTACATATTTCGATGAAAAAGTTCCATTGGAATCGTTTACGGAAACAGGCGGGATCGCAAATATTGGTACAGAGAAACACGCCAGTTTTGTATTGGACAAAAGGTGGTTTGTGTTTCGCGCGATATTATGAACCCAAGCAAATTGCGACTAACGAACACAGGGTTCAACTCCATCCGGAGGAACAGACTCATCCAAACTAGTCCGTGTGGGAGCTCGACCAGTTGTTCGTCTAATCTTTGGTTGGTTGCAGTGAGCATTGGGTGAGAGCGTGAATAGCTACACACTCAATTCGCTGTCATTATGGTTATGTTACTTCCCTTTTTCAGGCCAAATTCTAATGAAAACCGCTGTCAAGAGGACCCATGGACAACACCACTTCCTCTGGATGCAATAAATGTCAACAAAAATGCCTTCTTACGGAGTACGGTTTGACTTGTAACTGTTAAATGCCAAACTTCGAAGGGAGCTTCTCGTTTTGGCAGCGGAACATATCCAGATCCCTTATTGAATGTGGTAGATGAAAGTCATACGCATTGCCGCGTCGAAACATTCTGTGGAGGAAACCTGCTGTAGGACTTCCTTAAATTCACTTACCTCGTTACTAAATAAAAGCCATTATTGGAGATGACCTACCGTAGAGTTTTTGGCTATTGCTAGAGTATGGCCTTATAGTAGCCCAGCTTAAAATTGCTTGCTCATGCGTTATTCAAGATTCCGATCGTCCGGGTGGCTTCTGTGATTTATTGACGTAAATGACAATCATCAGGGTCATTTGTCCCTCTTAACAACTTGAAGGAGGGTTTTTGCCTTCATTCTTATCAGTATCTTTGGGATTTTTTAGAAAGATGCTATATCATTGATATTGAGGTCAAATTTTGGCGAAATTTGCATGAATCGCAACTCGCCCAGTGTATTCCGTCTTCTGTTTCGTCAGTGAATGCGTAATAGATTTTCTTCTAATGGGAATCAAAACAGTGAAAAACGCCGGAGGAGATGGAATAGTTTCCCGATCGGTGGCTTAAGGATACTTCTTAATAATATTTCTTTGTGAATCCAGCTGAATAATCATTGATGCGAAGACTTATCGGATTCTGCTTTGTTATTCGTTGACTCAATGACTACTTGAATTGGGTCGGGCATTTTCGCCACAGCCAGACTATCATGCAACCACCACTGTCTCGAAAAGCTCCAGATGACCAGTTCGTCATGTTTGATGTAAAAGATAATTGGAACTCTGCAAAAGCTCCTTAATTTCTTACGTTGTTCAAGCACTTGGACAGCATATAGCATCTGAGTACATTATATAACTTATTTTAGAGCAATAATTGGTCATTCAGCTCTTGGGGCCATATCCCACTTAGTTGGCTCCCACCCCCCATTGCATGTAAAACGCTGAAAACAACTGAAAGCTTTATTGATCTAGGGTGTTACGCCAAGAATGATGGGGATGTTGTAGATGAGATCCAATAACGAATTGTCAAACCATACTTTACCATAATTAATCTGAGTTAGTGATGGTCTTTTGCGGTAGAAATCTCAAACTCAGAGATAAGATGCATAGTGACTCCGTCCGTGTGGTCCAGTTATACGGCTACGAGACTTTATACTCGGAGGAGTTTTAACTGTTATGTCGGACTGTTAGGGTACACCAACCCTCTTTAAAAGTAGGAACAAAAGGCAAGTATGCGATAAGCTGGAGTCTAATGGACAACAAAACAAAAGTCAATTGCACTGACACAGACCGTTCTGCTTATGGCACGATTGATCAAGATGCTGACCTAAAGTCAACACTAGTCCCTTAGCCGATGCGTTTCCTGCGTACTTTGATTTGAACCTTGGGAATCAGTTCGCTTTGCTTTTTATTCACCAGCTTGTTCCGACCCCTGAGGTTTAAGCCAGTTTTGATCTGTGTTCTCGAAATAGGAAAGGTACTTGCATAGTTAAACGATGGTCCACTTTCGACAACCAATATCCTCAAAGCATTACTGGTTCCATTTCAACAATGCAACAAATTCACTACATTGACCAATAACATCACACCTCCATGGATCGATCGACCACACTCTCTTCCATATTGCCATTTATAATAATCCGTTGGTCTGTTAGGATGCTTGTCTACCTGCAAAATGAACTCAGAGTACACGATGATTCCATTGCCACTACATCCACCCAGACTTGCACACGTACCCCTTCGTTTTCGTACGCATCGATGCGGTTCGCAAGCATCTGACACTGCCCTATCAAAATTATCGTTCGAAAAGAGACGTATTTCGTATTGGACAGAAATGGTTCCAAAGACTGTCGGCGTGGATCGCCTGAAACCACCCTACGTCGAATTCCAGTCGCCGTAACAGATTCCTGATAGTGACGTTGAACAAACTTCGCCACAGAGCAGTCTACCCACCCAACCGATGTGCTGCTCCAGTGTTCCCTCTCCTCTCTAACCAGCACCAGTCACAAACTCAGACACACAAAGGCGTACACCTTTTTGACATCCAGTTATTCTTCCTTCTCACCTAGCTACTCACGTCAGATGGCACATATCGAGTGTTCATTTCCTTGACGAAACCCCTGGGGGGGGGAGTTCTGTAGCTACAACGAGTTTCCTCGGCATTACAGGAAAACGGATATCCAGAGAAGTTCACGGCACTCAAAGGCGGACGCGAGTATAGGGACGAACGGCTGCCCGACGTCCCTAAGAAAAAGTATCCATAACGCTACCATACAAAAGCGACCAAAATGACAGGAGATTCCCGCACCGTCACCGTCAATCTATGAAAATGTGTTCTTACGCCGCTGAGACTGGGCATTTTCACCAAGATAACAAGTTGCTGTTTACATCCAACCTGGACAGGCCGGACACTCGAGTTACCGTTTCAAACAATTACCTGTATCACTGTAGTTAGGGTAGCGGGTACATTGGCCGAACTGAACGAACACTGTCTAGAAGGACTTCAGAACATATTCCTCGAAACCTGGTCGCGAATGGTTAAACGCTGCGTGCAAATTCGATCTTCCGACACATGCTTGACTGCTCCATGTGTGAAAACCCTCTTGACATATTTAGCATAATCAACCAACAGATCGTCGCCCACCTGCTTCAGTTCACTGAGGCTTCGGCAATTAGGCGACTGAAACACAGTTTGTGTAAACAGACCGAGTTTGTCGCCAGTCTCGCTCTGCGTTGGTGAGGCTGGTGGCCACATTCCTCTAGGCGGAGTGCCGGCCAGCATCAGATGAACTTTGACCGTAGCCCACTTTGATGGAGAGACTCTCAGACGGGTCGTGAGCATTGATCATGCAGCAAATCACCGACACGTATGGTAACCAGTATCTATGACATATGCCCAAGAACTTGTACAATTTTGCCTAGGTTAGTTGCAGCGCCATGTGACATGTCTTCGCACTATCGGTAGCCTTCAATGTACTACATAACGACCGGTTAACAACACGTGGTCTATCACTGCAGCGAGAACCCACTGTAATCGTAGTGTACAGTAACTATTGCTATCTCCGAGTGAACCTACGCAGAGCCAGATAATTCTAACTGAAAGCCACGGTGTACCCCACTCGAGGTGGCCCCACATTGCTTTTAAAGAAAAACATTAGTGAACGGTAACAAGAAATATATCAGTTGTGTTGAACGGGTTACAGATCGAATAGGCGCAAAGCACGTGTATAGCTATTTCGTGCCTGCTGCATAATTTTTTAACAGCAATGCAACATCACGCAGGAATGTGCTTCTGCAACAACCCGCTCCAAGCACTGCATCCTCCATTCAGTCTTGCTCAGTACGGCATCCGGATCCCCTCAGAGCATTTCGATGCATCGCTGACTCATGGTGTGTTTAACCTAGGCATTAATGATACTCCAAATGCCGTCGAGAGGGTCCACTTGCGGAATGTACGGTGCCAGTTGTTGAAGTCTTCCTGAGCTGTAAGGCTCCTCTTGGAAGCTACGCTCCAGATCGGTGTGACAGGGTGAGTTATTACACCTATAAGGAGACAGCTTTCGGCGGAATGGATGCCATTGGTATCAAGCAGTAGCCGCAACCACCGCGCACATCTTTCTTTATTATAACTGCCTCTTAGGACAGAATATCCGAGCAATCCATTCTCATTCACCGCGTTGATCAGGTGCAGATTTTGTCCCCGATTGTTCGGCACGTCCACCTCCAACTCCAACTTCAGTCGTAACTGAAGGGTTTCCAAGGTAATCGTAGGGTCCAATTCCACCCATTCGATCAAGCAAACCACGTGACTATCTGACAGACACTTTCGACGCGACACGCTACCATCTCTTGTCGGCTCATTCAATTCTAATGTTCTAATCCAGCTTCTACATGTCTTCACATTTACCTGTAACAGAGATGCAATGCCCTTCCAGTCGTTGCCCTCTTCATATGTCTTCAGGATAAGAGCCTTTACATGTGATCTATAGGTTAAAAAACCATATAAATCAAATTAAAGACAAACTTGGTAGGTGAACTATGAGGACGATTTTCTTTTCGCCTTGCCTGCTACGTGTGGTTCCCATGCAACCAAACCGGGGGAAAGCAGAAGTGACAACTCGGCGGACCAGAGACGGACCGTTGCAACCGTATGAACGTTTCCACTTATAATTAAGTGAGGTTCTTCGCAGTCAGTTTCCAAATCACATAGTTTCCACTTATAAGTCAGACGCGTGAAATCACCTTGACGTTTCGGAACTAAACTTATGCCCCCGCATGCCAAGCGCGTGTGATGTTCGCCGTTTGTCCCGCTCAGGCCATTGGGCGTAATGACCCCGAACCTTTTGCACCGTTCACACATTCCACACGTACGTACACGTGCGTAAGGTCTTTAATGCGAGGTCCACGGCCGACCCCTCAGTGCGATCTGGATGAAATTTAGATGGGCATTTGCTTGCATTTTCTGCATTAAGGACAAAAGCTGATGAGTAAAAGAGTAAACAGATTGTGTTATTGGTGGATTTGATTGGGTATTGGTATATAGTTATGTACTCGTATTTTGTTAGGTTGCTTTGGACGAGAGTTTGTGCGCTTCTTGCCGTCAGATGTTGGGCATTACTTTTTAGAAATTTTAATCCGGTATTGACTAGAATGCGCATGTGGTATCGTCAACTTTGAAGATGGATACAATATTTGCGGTTCTTAATGACTGTGACGCTCATGCAGTAACACTGGTCAAACCGCATCATTTTTCTTCCCATCTCCAAATGCCCATTCTGAATCCTGATAGTCTCCATTACTGATTGAGGATTTGTAGCGTCACTTGAATCGCGTCCTATCCCAAAGAGCCTCTTTTTTGCTTGAACACGTCATACACGTTATTTGTCGAAATATACTCATCGGATGTCCGGTGACGCTGATGCCCCAATGTATTTAATCCCGCTTTATTAGTTCGCGGTTAAGTGAAGTTTATGTTCCCCAAGAAGTTGACATGATTTTGGTCCTCGCAATAATGTCCCTCCGAGCTGACCCTCGGTACCCTCGTTAGTGTTGGTCTATTGGGATTGAGGTATTTAAGCTGTGATGGATCATTCGAGGTAATAGTATCTATAACTCCGATAATGTTACAAAACACATGTACATTTTTCACCACGTTATTTTTATGCCCCAGGAATGGAGGAAAATGCACTTAAACGTGCCCGGTCAAGGATGGAACGAGAGGAGCGAAGACGATTAGCAGAGAATAGGAAAAAAGTAAGTTAAGAATTCTAACATAATCCATACGTCATCATATATACCGGCTGCTAAGAGCCGGATTAACAGTTAACGATTGGTTCGCTAAGAGCAGCCTCATTGGGCACATTAGGTGGAGATGCTGGGATAGTGCCTACCTCCGGTCACGTCTAGATAAGCAGTCACTGTGGCGCAGAGGACTATGCTTGTTTAGGCAAACTCGGGTCACTGATTCGAGAGCACCTAGTATCTACGCATCCTGTGCCGGTTGATGAAGCGCTTGTTCTGCTGATCGTCACGGCGTATCGACTGCTTTGTTCTAAGATATAAGCCAAGATAGCTGGATGGATAGCGTTCGACTTTAGTGGATAATATTGCTCTATCCTCAAGTCGTCCCAAATCAGAGGCATGCAAATATTAAGAAGACTTTACGGCTGCTATCACTGAGCAAATACACTCACGACTTATTTATATTAGTTGTTAATTTTAACAAATCCGATAACATTGGAGGGTCAAGTTTGGACTACACGTTGTGTGATTGGATGGTCGCCATCTAAGTCACTGCGATCACTGATGAGATGAAAGTACCTCGAAATGCGTCGTGGTTGTGCGGTGTTTTCGGGTGGGCACCACCCAATTTCCATCAGCTTTGAGTACGGTCCCAGTGATCGCAGTGACTAAGGTTCACTTCAATGTGAATCACAGTCCATTACATTGAGATTGCGCGTCGCAATCAAATCACACAACGTGTAATCCAAACTTGACGCTCCAGTTAGTCATTTACCGTTATACCAAGTGTTGCCCACCGTGACCCGGTAGCCAAAGGGGTAGAGGTTTCGGCTACTATTCCAATGGTTGCGAGATCGAGGCCTGCTGTCTCCACCTGATGAAATGAAAGTACATCGAAACGCGTCGTCGTTGTGCAGCGTTTCGGGTGGGCAACACCCAATTTCAGTCCGATAACATATTAAAGTTCTTGCACTACGGCATATGCTAAAATGTCCCTCCAGGTTAGAGGCAACCCAGGACTTAATTTTTGTTAATAATCGGAAACTATTTTTGGTCTGCAATCGGACACTGCTTACCAACTCCGATCTTTCCACTGTCAAGTTGTCCTCTTTTCTCGACATTCATCATCATCATCATCAATACACGTTAGTTTAGGGTGAGAAACACACCTCAGCTAATGTGCCGCAATGCAAAAGAGATAAGTGATTAAACATTAGGGACTACAATATCTAACAAAGTAACCTAATGCTAAAGTCACATTACGCATTGGGCTGAGATTGTTTTTGGAGGGGAAGCTCTAGGGGAGAGAAGGAACACAGAGATACACAACACAAACGCCATTGAGGTCGGCTGCTAGCCATGTCAGCTAGTGTATCCAACCAAACGTGTTCATCGTTCTTCGGACCCCAGCTTGACGGTCGGGAACCACTAACCGACGCTGAGTTTGAAGTGAGGGACTTCATTTCTCTCGACCAAGTCATCGCTTGGCCTCCGCTCCTTTTCTTCCAACCACATCCCCAATGCACAAACAACTCACGACGCGGGAATCGGTGGGCTGGCATGCGCAACACGTGGCTCAGCCATCGGAGTCTAGTGCGTGATATACTGGTGCAGAGCGGTGCACTCGCTCTCCCTTCACCAAATACGCGACACTGAACATGCTCATTGCTCACACGGTGCTCCCACCAGACGTGAGCTAAGCTTCGAAGGCAGCTTCTTTATGTCAGTCGACTCGATGGGACAGGTTTCGCAACCGTACTGGAGGGTTGGATGTACGGCTGCATCATAAACTCTGCCCTTCAGAGCGCGAGTGATGTCACGCAGACGCAACAGGTGACGGCGATTGGCGAAGTCTCCTCGAGTTTTCGCAATGCGGTTCGTGGCCTCACCTTCAATCCCACGGGTGTCAATATAGCTACCCAGATACTTACCTTTCGTGACGACTTCTAGCTGACTAATACCAAGGGTCAGCGAAGGAGTGGATCCCATCCAATATTGAATAAGGATTTTGTATTTCGAGTGTGCAAAGCAAAGCCCGAAACGACTCACAACCAGAGCTAATTTATCCAGCGCTGCTTGATGCGTTTGTACACTGTCACATATGAGCGCAATATCCTTGGCATACTCCAAATCAAGAGGTCGGTCACCTGGGAGCAGCTCCATACTTTCTAAGTCGTGCCCGTCCAACGCCGATTACAGGACTTCGTCAATGGCGAAGTTAAAGAGGATAGGTGACAACGGGAAATCACACCGCTGGAAATATTATAGGGCGGTGAAAGTTTGCGGTAAGCCCACAGTGTGCCCGAAATATACGCGTACACCGCTCTTATGAATTCACATATTTATCCGGCACACTTTTTCCGAATAGACAGTCCCAAAGAGCACATCGATTAACCGAATCGAAAGCCCCTTTTCTGTCTAGCAACAAGACTACGGTTGGTCGCCAATGAACATGGCGGTGCTCCAATAATTGACGATGGTCAATTCAGCTTGATTTCGACGAAACCAGGCCTGATTCTCGCGTACATGGCTTTCATGGGTGCCAGTTAGTCTATGAAGGACGCCAAAAGCAAGTAACTGCGAGACAATGGAAGTTAGACTGATTCCTCTATGATTGCCACATTCAGAACGGGAACATCCATTAAAAATTGAAACTATTACCGAGCGGCTCCAGTCTATCCGGACAGTCTCTTGCTCCCATAGACTCATTAATAACCTAGGTAAATTGCCCAAAAAGCAGGTTCTCCAAGCTTTGAAGAGGGCTGGATGAAATCCATCTGCTCCGGTGGTCTTCTTTAGTTTCAGACGTCTGATCTCGTATTCGATTTCTGCGCGTAAAGGCGCATGTATGGGGATGGCCCAAGTAGTAGGACGCTCATTGGCCGAGTGGGAAACTGGCAACTCTGACTGATTGAATTGACTCTCAATGTGTTCGGGCCAACGCTCCAAGCCTTTTGACAAGGCGTGGATTGGCTGCCCATTATCCCCGCATGTAGTCTCGCTAACAACAGATCTACTGCCTGTTTCTCGTATCAGACGGAGTAACTTCCGATGGTCACCAAAGGCAGCGGGCTATCTCCATCTCCGATGCACGAAGAGACCGCTACGCTTCGCGGCCTCTCTTCAGGCTAGCACACATGTTCGCCCTGAAATCTTTGCGAGTCTCATTGTATTCGCTTCCAGTTGGAACACGTCGTGAAGCATCCAAAAGTTCCGGGGACTGCGTAGAGACCCAATGTCCATATTGGCGATTTGAGTTGCCACATGCAGACATGCCTGCTGCTAACAACGTCTGCTGGATATACGACCAATGTCCTTCAACTGTGTTCGGTCAGCTCTTACTCAGCTTGGATGCCAGCATACTTTGATACGCATTCAGTATATCTGAATTCGCCAGTTGGGAAGTAGCTATGCGCTCACATCGCCGTTGCGAAGCGCACCCAAAGGTCGGTGCAAACATGTGTGTAGTCAGAGTTCATGGTCGTGCTCCAAATCCAGTGAGTTTTGAACACAGCTTCTCCAGCGGCAACTCATCGCGATGTGATCGACTTGCTTCCATGGATGGTCCGAGGCTGGTGTGCTCCATGTTACTCTCTGGTGGGTGTTGTGTTGGAAGTAAGTGCTCACGAGAAAGAGACGCGCATCTTCACACAGGTGTAGAAACCGCTCACCCTTATCCTTACGGCAGCCTACACCATGTTGACCGCTTAGATTAAGCTCATCATCGCATAGTTTTAACACTTGGGCGTTCAAATCACCAGCCAGCACCACAGTATTCGCACACCTTGTGTAACGAAGGTGTGCGTTCAAGCGCTGACAGAATTCGTCCTTAACCGAGTCGGTTCTACAATTTGTGGGCGCCTAGACCGCATTGCCAAGCACCATTTGTCCCCACGCATTTTTGATGCTTTGAACGAGCTAGCCAATCTGACAACGCCCATATGACTGTTCATTGGGATCCAATCAATCACAGCAAATTCAATCCGGGGGATAAGAGCAATGCTCACACCGGCTTGATCGGCATTCAAAGCTGCATCATTTCCGGACAAGCGCAATTAGAAAATACCGCTAGTGTCGCATGTTGGGGATCGGAGGGTAATCACAGAACTCAAATCTTGCAGACAAGTTTCTGATAAGCAACAGATGTTGATTGTTAGGGTCTCCAGTGTTCCGGCATGTGTTGCCTCTTGGCCAATCTGCAAAACTGCACACATTGAGGCAGGTCCGTCTTAAGGAGGGTCGATGACTCCAAGTAGAAGCAGATGAACTGACCTTCCGTTTGGCTGGAAGTCGACTTGTCGATTAGACCGGGGCGACGCCCTGCAATTGCGTGTGAATCGAAACTATAAGATAATCGTTTACTGAACTAATATGGGGGGACCAAGAATTGCAGTATTGAAAACGGGGAACAAAAGTGAAATTGCACTGATCAAATCTTCACGCTCTGACAAAGCCACGAGCTCCGCCACGTTCACCATCGAGCAGCAATCGTAGTGTACTTGGACATCCGCGCGGCATACGATTCATTGGACAGAGCTGCTTTGTGGAATTGTTTATTAAGGGAGGGTGTGCCCGACAAGTTTGTCACTATTCAGAAAGAACTTTTCAGTCACACGTCGGGCGAACTTAGGGCTTAGGGCAAACTTTCTTCTTCTTTTACTTTTGCCAGCGCCGTTCGCCACGGTTGCCCTATTTCACCTTTTTTCTTCAATTTTCCCATCGATGACGTCGTGCAACGTGTGCTAGGTGTCCACAACTGCCATGCTGAGCTTCTCACTGGCGCCAGAATCGTAAACTTGAACTACGCCGATGACAACGCTTTGCTGGGTGCCGATCTGCAAATCATCCAAAACACCTTGAACCGCTTAGCGATTGATGCATCTAATCATGACTAGTATTTTACCCCAGCCAAATGTAAATTGCGACTCCAGGATTGGCAGGAGCCTGCTTCCGCGCTCGCCATTGTTGGTGACACCTTAGAACAAGTGAATTGCTTCGCTTAGCTAGGAAGTCGCATCACGGTTGGTGGCGGTGTTGGAGATGAAGTTTCACAGCGCATTACAAGGTAGCCTTGCTTTCATCAAACCGAGACACCTATGGCATCGTCGTGACGTCAGTCTCAAGGTCAACGGTGGGATGTACAACACTTTTGTCCGTACGGTCCTGCTGTACGGCTGTGAGACCAGGCTTGTTCGCTCGGAAGACATGAGATGACTGTCAGTTTTTGACAACCGTTGTCTGCGGAGGCGTGTTCGTGTGTGGTAGCAACGTCACATAAGCAATACGGTTACTTGGAAGTAGTAGGGGGTTTTATTAGGTTTTTGTGCAGCTTTGTCGCAGTTAGACATAGGAAAACAGCCACCACCCATCCAGGAAAGCGCTTGGCGTCCGTTTCGTCCTATTGGGACTTGTCAGTAGCGCGCACCCACTGAATCCTGCCGGATTCGAACCCACGACCTTACTCTTGTGACTCAGAAACTAATGTTACTGCGTCATGGGCGACGGCAGCGGACCGCCAGGACTGATCTCTAAGTGCGATATAGCGCGGCTCACCATCCACTGTCTTGCATATTATGAAGGTGCAGGTGACAGGGCTGGCCCCCAGAGCAACGACTTCCTTTGCAAGCCGCTACCAATCGCGGTGGAATATAAGCTGCTAAGGCGACTACTGATTACTTGTAACAGGAAGATTTATTAGGTTTTTGTGTAGCTTCCTTGCAGTTAGGCACAGGCAGATAGCCACACATCTAGAAAAGCGCTACTCGGCCGTTTCGTCCTACTGGGAATCGTCAGTAGTGCGTATCCACCGAATTCTGCCGGCTTCATGAATGAGTGCTTGGAGCGAACAGTTCCAGTCTTCAAAACGTTGTTCTCCGACACCGCATGCGTTGGCTCGGCGACGTACTGCGGATGCCAGTCTATCGCCTTCTCCGACGAGCGTTATTTGCGCTTCCCGGAAGCGATTGGAAAATGTATCTCAGTGGAAAACCAATGATGTGGAGGATGACCATAAAGAAAGCAGCCTCAAGCTTAGCTTCAGTTGGATCAGCGCGCCTCCCAGGTTGGAAACCATGTGACTCGGAATTCTTGTGGTTGCAAACGCTTGATGTGATGGCACGTAACAGACATCAGTGGCGCTAGTTTTGTTGTGCCGTTTTGTCTGTTGTTTAGTCTCACGTATGTCTTTAGATAAGTAAAAAACAAAAAAATTAAAACGGCGTGCGCGAAACCCAGAAAGGAACCGTTTCTTTTCTTGTTTTCTTTCGTACGTTCGTTCTCTTCCTTTTTTGCCATGGTTCCGATGGGATATTGTGTGTAAACAGACGTTAATATATATATATATATATATATATATATATATATATATATATAAAGTTAAGGATGCAAAACGTAAGATGGGGATAAGAAGATGGGAAGGCTTGAGCAGTAGTGTCTAAACCCCTATCCACTCTGCTCGATGCAGCATATAGGGCGCGGTTGATTATCATCTTCTACGGCCAGAGCATCAAGAAATTGTTTGAATTAAGGTTCATTTTATGGCGTGGGCAGGATACTGTCAGGTTGCCCAGGCCTAGACAGGAGAACGGTTAGGGTTCTCAACCAAAGCCTTTGGTTCAAAAACCTGACCGCAAGTCAACCGGTTTTGCGTTGGGCTACAAGGAGTCCGTTTTAAGGAATAAGGGGTAACCTTCATTCCAACCCCAAAGCTGGAGGACCAGGAGGCTGAGTTTGTCTGACCTCTAACCATTGACCAATCTAGTATGAGTGACTGAAGGTGCAAAAAGCACCACGCAGCATAGCTGAATGGATCACTGAGGTCCGCAAACCATCGCAACATCTTGACTTCCAGTCTCGTCAAAAGTATCTCACTTCTTGAGATGACCGTAGACGGAAATGTGTACAATCCGTGCTTCCAAACGTAGCTCGACTGTGAATAATGGTTACATTCACAGACTTTGGTTTGTTTTTCTACTCCGATGTCTCAACATATTGTGCCCGAATGACAATTTGTCTGAACTTCTATTATGATCTCTTCTGTCCCATAGCAAGCTATTTTGATCTGTGCTGATCTTTTTCCCCGCCCCAACTTAATCAGTTTCGTAGACTCAAGGAGCAGCCTTTCAAAAGCAGTGTTCCAGCATCAGATGAATAATCATCTTTGTCTACACAACTCTAGGGAACAACATTTGCCGTGAAATTTGGCGGATGATTCAACAACTGAGCGAAGTCATGACATGAATTCCGGTGTGAATGCAGACGAGTGAAATCGCAGTTTCTGTTGTTCCATCAGTGACTCCTTCTCTGACTGATGATCTGCATACATTAAATAACCTACACACTCACCGTCTTCTGTTGAGTTTGTATCACTGCGCAAGCAGTGAAGCCAGCTAGGCAAGGCAAGCGAACCTGACAGGTTGTCACCCGTCGTCGTCAAACGGTGTGCGGATTCCTTAGCCCAGCTCCTGACTGTGTTATAATTAATGTGCCTAAAGCAATGCATAATGGGGAGCTGTTGTTGCTTTGCTTGCACAACCCCGGTACCGAAGTGTGGGTCAGGTAAATTCTGCATTTCAGTGGCTTTGAAGTTCTTTGAGAAATTTGTTCTTGAAACGATGCCGGTCCAATCCCATTTAGATGGCCCACTTCAGTTTGCGTATGGAAGTTCAAGTTACGCACACGAGAAAAAATGGCTTGTTCCATGCATTTTCAGTGTTATCCTCGTTAGACAGTAAGAACAAATTCCAAAGTGTCTGCTTCCCTCACTACAGTAACGCTCTTGGCTGTGCTAACCGCGGATTACTGCGAGATCTGTTCAATGCTGATATTCAACTGCCTTTAATATTCTTGCTAAAGGATTATTTCACCAACCGTACTCAGGTCACCAGGTGCAGAGGTATGTACTCCTCGCCACTTACCACAACGTTCGGTGACCTTTAAGAAGCTATTCTAACACCATTATTTTTCTCTAACTACGTTGGTTCCGTACGTGTTCCCTTAGATGTCATCTTGATAAAATATACTGATAATGCTAGCATCAGCTTGATTCATCTAACTTCATCTTCCCCACTTGAGCTGCAAGTTTGCTTAGATGAAAAAGTGCAATGGTCTAGATCCCGCTGTCTGACGCTAAACGTATATATATATATATATATATATATATATATATATATATATATATATATATAATGACATCCCTATTTTAACTTCTTAAAGCCGATCGGCACCAGAACATTGTCACAGACTATCCCCAACTTCAGACCAAGAGTGAGAGCTTGAGCTTCTCCATGTCAGTAAAGAATCTTGAAGTCATTCTGCACTACGGCTCACCTGAACCACTCAATGTGAATGAAATGTTCACTAAACTCAGATGACTGTTGTTTTATCTCTGTCGATTGTGACCATTCTCCGTATCACACATTCTCATTCTGAGGTCCATCATTGCATGTATTCTGTAACTTTGGACTTATTGCTCTCCTGTGACTTTTCCACGCCCTTAGGGTAGGCATCTCAAATTTCTTGGAGGTCGCTGAAGCACTAACCTCGTTGTCGAAGCGTTCCAGAAAAAACTTTGGCTTAAATATTTGTAACTATCCATGTTAATTGCCGCAAAAATTTGCTTCAAAAATGCTCACTGACATCGGCTACCCTCTGCATACTGCACTGTCTAACTATATAAGTACTTTATCGACCAGACGCAGATACAGAGAAGTACATGCTGGCACATGGGACTATGGTTTTTCGGTCGTCCCCAATCTATCCAGTACTCTACTTAACCAGAACATAACCATCCAAGACTACACCAGTAAAGTTTACCAAATAGACTTTGTTTATCATTGAACATTTACTGTTGTTGCTATTTTGCTGCTATTGCGTTGCTTTTGTATGGCATACATGTTACGGATGCACAGAAGCCCGTTCTCGACTTGTTTTGACTTGAATCATCAGTAACGTTTGAACCGCTGGGCCGAGCACTTGCAGCGGCAGTTCAACTGGCCTTCACCGCCCATATATGAGCACAGGATATGCATGTGATTTCCCTGGCTCCACCCACTGGATATACCGGGCAAAACGGTACTTTGCCTCGCGACCCGACAATTCATGGATGTCGGCTCAGACGGACTTCCTCCAAAGCTGTCCAAGTATGGCGGCGCATTTATGATCAATCGGCTGATCTCAATATTCTCCAAAATAGGACATGAAAAAGCAACCTTCCTCCTGGGTCAAGTCGGTTGCTGCCCCGATTTTAAGATTGGTGGTCGTACTTCATGCGTCAATCACCAACGGATCGGTCCCAATTTTGCTTTCCCTTAGGCTATATATATATATATATATATATATATATATATATATATATATATATATATATATATATATATATATATATATATACTCAGCGGTCTACACATAGATACAACCATCAAAACCTATGAATATTAAAGGAAGTCACAGTTGTAATTGAAAACAGACTACAACCCAGCGAAGTCTATGCTTTTTCAGAAGGCATGACAACGCCCGGTTACTAAGGCGGACGTTGCAAGTTGTCTTAAGGGACACCACTCCGAGCCTATGGCCAATAGCCTACTCGAAAGAGAGCTAATCGAAGTTAGGAATCGCATCCATTTGGAGGTGATTACTGAGTACTCAGCGTATAGTCTTTCGTTTACTCGGTTACCATACAAGGGTTTAATCTTCCCTGCAATGTCAACATCACGTAATTGGAATGCATTGCTTCACCAGAGGCAGTTACCTCAGCTAGTGGTGAGTCACACCAGCCACGTCACAGTGTTGTTAACCTGATGGTTGTGACTTTTTCTAGGGAAATCGCTGGCCAAGTGGTGACTTACACAATGCCGCCGTGCCATTTGCTGAAATGGGATAAACCTTAACCACCCAGCTGGTAGCACGCAGAGATTGTTTGGCAAGCCAACCGAGAAAAATGTAAGTTTAGCAAAATTCGTTGGCGAATAAATCGGGAGTCACAGTCTGT